GCGCGAGCATAAATGCACATTCCGTAGGGCGGCGACTCGATCCTATGGGAGTGATGATAGAAGAAGCGCACTCCTCTTTGTCACGGCGAGCGCGATCGCCTTAATGCTGCAGCGTTTGTTGTTAGCCGCCACGAGGTCGTCTCTCTGCTGGTCATTTGTTGCGATTGATTCGAACAGTATACCGTGCGTGCAACCCTCTCGTTTCGATGGTCTCCATGGGATCCAGGCGGCTACACGAGCCTATCTAGCACGCTGAGGGTGTCCGCCGCATCTTCAAGATTCAAGAATAAAGAGTCGAGTTTATTTGAAATAAGTCGAGATGTAAAAGGCTTGTTCTTAGGTGTTCAGTTTGTGTCTAGTGAAGCCATAGTTAGCATCATTGTTAGGTTGCAGCTCGAGGACGAGCTGCATGTTCGGGTGGGGAGTAGTGTTAGAGGAGTCAAGGGCCTATTGGGCCTTAGCCCGTTAGGGTTAATTAGTCGCTTGCTTAGGAGTCAAATAAACTTCTCTATATAAGGAGAGGAGATGTATCAATCTAATGAAGCAAGAGATTAGAAGGAAAACCCTTCTCTCTTGCCGGCCGTGGGCGAAGCCCCGCGGCCGGCCTCCCCCTGCGCCCCTAGCCCTAGCCGCCGCCACCATCACGTGAACAGTACCCGTGGATACTGTAGCTCTGCGGGTACTGTAGCACACACATCACCGCCACTTCCCTCAACTCGCTCCTCTCGATCCCAACAACCCCAACGCCATCCATAACATGCACTTTACTTTGTTTATGGTATTTCCAGTGTGATTGATATAATTAACTCTAATAATAAACTTAGGGACAACAAATATTGGTAGGTGTTTCAAAACTACAGATCATCTATAGCTCTTGTATAGGAACCCATGCTCTAATGGTGCTCCTTAGGTAGATCAATTATCCTAGAAAAGAATCTGAAACTCCAGGACAACAACACATTCAAGTAAATAAACAGGAATTCTAGAACACGGAAAATTACATTCTTTAACAACACAGTCTACTATTTAACTCACTTAGCATTAGCAAGCAAGGCCCAAATCAATATTTCACATAGAAACAAAGGATGAACTACTGCCGATATTACAATATCCCGGCAGTCACGACAGTAGCAATTCACCGCGGGGCAACTCTAACCCTAGATCTTCTATGTGCAGCGCCTAAATAGCTCACCATGGACGTGCATGCCCGATCTACAGACCACACAGGATGGACGAGCAGCTAGAACTACTGGACGGCGTAGATCTTACGGAGATGACGCGGATCGAGCCCACATCCAGACCCATCCCGGCCCGGGACGAGCGTGGTGTTGAGCTGCTGCAGCGGTCGACCAGCGCGTCGGCGCTCATCCAGCAGCTAGCTCGCTCGGCACGGGGCGTGGTGGCGTTGGCAATGCCTGGTTGCTGCCATGGCGCCCACAAATGAGGCGGCGGCATGGTAGTCATGGCTCTTGGCCGCCCCATCCCAGAGCACGCGGCCCTACGCGCAGTCCACAATGAGCAGCGCTGGGACGGCGAGGGGTCTGCGTAGGGGAGGAGGATGCGGAGGGAGCCGACGTTGGTGCTTCCGGAGGAGCGAGAGAGGCGAGGGAGAGCGCACACTGGGCGGAAGAAGATCGAGGGGGAGAGCGAGAGCCACATCGCGGTGTCGGGCTTTTGGGGAGATTTGGGGAGTCTGGGCCGGCGGGGTTAAATCCCCCCTTTGCCGAGTGCCCTCGATCTGGCACTCGGCAAAGTATTTTTATTTTTTTTTAAATCTTTGCTGAGTGTCACCTGACCTGGCACTCGGCAAAGAGGGGTTTTTTTTAAAAAAAAATTATTTGCCGAGTGCCCCCGATCTGGCACTCGGCAAAGTATTTTTTTAATTTTTTAAAATTCTTTGCCGAGTGCCACCTGGACTGGCACTCGGCATAGAGGGTTTTTTTTTATTTTTTTTAAATTCTTTGCCGAGTGTCATTCGTCCTGGCACTCGGCACAACGGTGATTTGCCGAGTGTCATTTTTTGAAACTCGGCAAACCATATTTTTTTCACTTTTGACCTCCAAACTTTTTCTGCAGTCCTCATACAATACCTGGTACTCCATGTTCCAATGTGGCACATTTCTCGGACTTTTTCTATATTTCTTTAATTTATTTCATTTAATTGAATTTTCTTGGATAATTCAAATTATAACCGCTAGTCATTCGAATAATGAAAAAAATGGAAAAATGATATTCATGTTATTTAGTATAATGTGAGGCCGTATCTAGGAACATAACACTAATTTCGAACATCTTGTTCACGAAACACGGCCACAAACTTGCGGTCGAGTTGTTTTTAAATTCTATAAAAAGCAAACGAAGTCCGAAAATCATGAAACTTGTCAAGATGTTATGATATCATATGTGGAGGCTATGATAAAAATTTGAGAAGGTTTCACGTAAGTTGTCATGTACGATGCTTCTCCACCTCGTCGGCCTCTTCACGAAATCATGAAACTTCTTCGGAGATTCTTCGGTTTGCAAGCATCGTACGTGACAACTTGTGGGAAACCTTCTCAAATTTTTATCACACCTCCACATATGATATCATGACATCTTGATAAGTTTCATGATTTTCGGACTTCGTTTGCTTTTTATAGAATTTAAAAACAACTCGACCGTAAGTTCGTGGTCATGTTTCGTGAATAAGATGTTCGAAATTGGTGGTCTGTTCCCGGATACGGCCTCACATTATACTAAATAACATGAATATCATTTTCCATTCATTTTTTCATTATTCAAATGACTAGCAGTTATAATTTGAATTATCCAAGAAAATTCAATTAAATGAAATAAATTAAAGAAATATAGAAAAAGTCCGAGAAATGTGCCACATTGGAACATGGAGAACCAGGTATTGTACGAGGACTGCAGAAAAAGTTTGGAGGTCAAAAGTGAAAAAAATGGTTTGCCGAGTGTCAAAAAATGACACTCGGCAAAGGAGCCTCTTTGCTGAGTGTTAGGAGAAGACACTCGGCAAAGAATTAACGGAGGCTGCCGGGCGTTAACGGAGGCGGCCCTTTGCCGAGTGTTCTGGTTTGCCGAGTGCCGGCAAACCACCTATTTGCCGAGTGTTATTGTTTGCCGAGTGCTCGGCACTCGGCAAACCACCTCTTTGCCGAGTGCCAGTTGTTTGCGAGTGCTTTTTATCTGGCACTCGGCAAACAACCTCTTTGACGAGTGCCCGATAAAAAGCACTCGGCAAAGTCTGGGACACTCGGCAAAGAAGCCGTCTCCAGTAGTGATGTAAGTGAAGGTGTTGATTGTCTTGTGGTCGATGAGGATGTGGACTGTGGGCCCAAAAGAAAACAAAGCTACAAGAACCTCATTGAACGTGTGAGGGACCGCTAGTTAGTGATGGAACAACTGACATGCATGTCTCAATCTGTAATTTGATTGTAAATGATCGTATGGTCGAAATATATACTTTTAGCCAAAGTATATATAGATGGTATCAGTAACGTGTTAAGATCCTCGTTCACTAGTTAGGGACTTGAATTTCCACTTGTGGCAAAAAAGGAAGTCATTTGGTGATAAAAATAAATACAACAAGTTGTGAATACCATTGCACTAGCACAGATGAATACCATTGCTACCAGGTTAAAAAAAAGGATAGGCGAGAGGGGATTCCCCTATCTAAGTCCTTTTCTGATCTAAAAATTATGACCAACTTCCTCATCCACCTTGATTCCAGCACTTCCTCGGCTAACAGCCTCCTCAATCCACTTACACTGGATCGGTGAGAAACCCTTCATCCTCAAAGATTGTTGTACAAAGGACCAATTAACTTTATCATAAGCCTTTCCGAAGACCAACTTTAGGATTACCCCATCTTTCTTCTTATGTAGCTCATGGATCGTTTTGTGCAAGACCACCACCCCTTCCAGAATATTCCTCCTCGGCAAAAAGGCTGTCCGCGATTATTTCACTACTGTATCAGCAATCGCAATTAGCCTGTTAGCCAAAACCTTAGTAAAAATCTTAAAGCTAACATTGAGCATGGAAATGGACATGTACTGCTAAATTTACTTGACCTCTTTTTGCTTCGAGATTAGAGTGATTGTGCCAAAATTTAGGTTAAAGAGGGGCATATTACCCACGTGGAACTCTCGAAACATGGCTATTAAGTCATCTTTGATGAGGGTTCAAAACACTTGAAAGAACTCCGCCGAGAAACTAGCCTTATTATGCTTCATCTGAAATATGGCATCTCTTACTTCTTTTTTGTAAACCTGTTAGCTAGCATCTTGTTTTCTTCCTCATTAATATGAGGTACATCATCATTCTGTGATTCATCAAGAGGAAAGTCATTTCTCTTAGATGATCCAAACATATCTTTATAATATTTTGTTTGTGGAAACTTTAAAGTTTTCTTGCCCCTAAATCACTTTCCCTTCTTGTTCTAGCTAAAAATTCTCGGACCATTAGCCACCATTTGGAAATACTTAGTATTATTATGGTAAATTGTGCCGCATGACATCCGACTTCAATGGAATTGACCAATTCACACCGCCAACAATAAAATATACCCAATACCATTATGAAACGGTGTATATTTTGTCGTAACACACTTTATCGATTATTTTATTCATTTTCTAGATTTCAAGAGATAGAAGGTGGGGGAAATGTCTCTTCTACCCTTGTCTTCAACCGCCGGCTCTTCACACATTATATCGAGGGGAGAATTATGTATTTGGCACTGAAATAAATCGGTCTTTCATATTTGGCACTAGAAAATTTGAACTTCCTTAGCTAGCACCAACTTGAAATTTTCTTCTATAAATGGCACTGCCGTCCATTTCGACCAGGCATCTGTTAGTTGACCGTGTTCAACTTGTCAGTTCATTTCGAGGGAGACCAAAATACCCCTGCCCCTCGGTTACTCGCACGCGCCGTGTCACGTAGGCAGAGGCGGAGGAGGGATCGGCCGGCGGCGGCCAGGGCCGGCCGCGCACGCCCCCATGGCCCCACGCGTGCCCTCACGCGGAGGATGCGGGGCGGCCGCAGCCGCCGGATGCAGATCGCGCAGCGGTGGACGTGGGGTGCCCACGCCCGCTGGAGGTCCGACGCGGCGCCCTGCCCGTGCCCGTGCCGGTGCCAGCGCCACTGCCCCGCCAGATCCTCTGCTCGCCAGGAGTCGCTGGAGGCGATGGAGGAGCAGGAGGCCCGATACGGCAAAGCCGGATGGACGAGGGGTGCGCAGCCGCGGAGGACATCGCCGTCTACCAGGACCATGACGACTGCCTCCACAACGACGGTCAGCCATTGCTCGGCGGCGCGACCATCTCCTTCGAGTACGCCAACGCGTTCCCGTCCGAGCTCTCCGTCCGTGTCGCCACCTGCATTGACCCCACCATGCCAACTACATTTAGGCCTGCTTCCATCTCCGTTCAAGCGCAAGTGGTGTTTGATGCCGAGAAGGTACAACACTATCGTCTACACCCTCCTCACTCCAATGGAGTTGCTGCGTTTGGGCCTGTCTCTGTCGTTCAAGAGGCCCCTGAGGTGTTTGAGGAAATGGCTAAGCATATTTTAGAGATACTGTGGCCACCTCCCATGCATATGTCAAACTTGCTATGTACTGACTGTGTGCCCTCAGCTCAATCCTTGGTTGACAAGAGCATACAGAGCTGTTTCTCGCCTCCATCCTGTCGTAGCTGGGATGCAGTGCCGCATAGGCAACCATGGCCGCCACCGGAGCAGTTTGGGACGCAGTGCAATGGAGTTCAACTTAGGCCAACACCCTGGCCATCTTTCATTGGTAATACAGTTCAAGTGACAGACCTTATCAAGTGGCCTGGATGTCAAGCATTGGCCTGGACCACAGACCGTCACCTACAAGAGCGTAGGAGCACCAGCCGGAAAGATCATCAAACAACATAATACAAATAGGTTTCCTTCCTCTCTCTCTCTCCACTGTTCATCTTCCTCCCAAATCCCTGAGCTCCTACTGCTGTTCTTCTAATTCCCCTCTATTCTCTACAATCCAGCTACAGGTTGCTAACACGAGAGCGACCACCACGCGTTGAGGTTGGTGAGCATGAAGGTGGCCTTCCACGCTACCGGCACGCGCGGCTTGAGCGCGGTGCCGGCAGCGTACATGGCCAGGTGCGGCGTGATGGTGCCGAAGAAGGCGATGGCCACAACCTTCTTGCCGGACTTGACGATCATGCCCAGGTCCGTCTTCACGCCGATGACGAAGATTTTCAGCATGAAGGCGTACCCGCCGATGGTGGTTATCTGCACCCACCCCTCCAGCATGGAGAAGAGCTCACCGCCGTGCGGGAGCATCCGGCCGAGAAGCGATGGTCCCAGCAGCGCGCTGGCCAGTGTACACGCACGCAGACGACGCAGCACAGCACCTCTATGGAGTTAGCACGCCGGCTGGCCGTGACGACGACAGTGTTTGGGCGTCACGCCGGCGGGAAAGCAGAATAGGCTCTTTCCAAGTTACTCCTAATTCAGTACGATCTATGATGTAAGCTTGTGCCTGAAATTTATTTATTATTTTTTGTACATGTTCTTATCTTAGTATTTGAAATTATTGATTATTTTGTTTGCACTCTTCAATTATCAAAATGCCATGTTTTAATTCACAAATATATTTGTGATATTTATGCTTTCTTTATTTGACAACATGTTTAGTTTTTCTTTTCCTATCTGGCACTACGTGTTGCTACTACATGGAAGGGTAGACATGTCATTTTAGCTGTCACTTAACACCGTTAGTGCATCAAATGGACGGCAGTGCCATTTATAGAAGAAAATTTTAAGTTGGTGTTAGTTAAGGAAGTTTAAATTTTCTAGTGCCAAATATAAAAGACCGATTTGTTTCAGTGCCAAATACATAACGTGTTTCGAGAGAGTAAAACCATATTTCATAACGTGTTTCGCATTCTCATGAAACTTTCGTTTTCTGGTAGTGGGTGCTAATTTTTTTTCCTTTATTACAAAAAGATGGAAATTGAAACCAGGCTTTTGGGTTACGTTTTTTTTGTCGTTATTACTGTTGGAGATGCATGCTCTTAGGCTAGTGAATTATTATCCTTTGTTCCGAGGAAAGGAAAACAGAAAACGCAGGGATGATTCATTTGCATTGGATTGATACGATGCGACCAGTGGTCAAACTCAAATACAAGGTTATTTGGGTCATGGGTGCATGTGCATGCATGTCATCGTTAGAGATGACGTAGGAGGTGATCAGGCCGGGCCGGGCGCGCTGGGCAAGGGCAAGTCGGCTCTGCATGCAACCAGTCCATGCATGGCTAGGCTAGGTGTGATGGCTCCGATCCAAACCGGTTCTGATCCGACTCGAACAACGCACGCATGCAACTCGATCCGATTGATATGATCTCCGATTCGTTCGTATCCTGTTGGAAGAGCTGCAATCCGGCCGGGCCGCCAGCCCTTTGCATTGTTGCTCGCTGTATTTGCCTAGCTAGCTTGCCAGCCGACACGATCGGCGTGCCTCCACCACTGTGCTCTTGTCGCGCCACCGCCACCGCCACCGCCACCACCCGCGCTTACATTACATACCGGCCGTCCGTCGGTGGATCGGATCCTGCAGAGACGTACAGACTTGGGGCCGGGAGAGATGAGCCATCCGGCCGGGATGGTTTCACCGTGACCCGTACGTGGACAGCCTTGATCCCGCCGAATTAGCAGCAGATCCCGTGGCCGTGGCCTTGGCCCCCTATCTTTATGGTACTTACTACGATGAAGAGCATGGGCGTATGAGGCCAACCTCTCCTCTAACCCGATCTCGACATCGGCGATCTCCATCGCCACCCCCATCTATCCAAGCCGCTATAGCTGCTCCTAGCCCTATGAGTAAGCGTGCTCGCATCCCCGCCTCCAGCAAGGCTATCCTGGGGCTCAAGGAGGTGCTGCTCACCACCACCGAGGACGACGACTGTGCCATCTGCCTTAGGCTTTGGCTGATCCTGCAGATCAGGACAAGGAGGAGCCAACAACAGCTGATGTAGAGATCATGACAAGGCTCTGCGCCATGCCCTGCTCCCACGTCTTCCACCAGCGTCATAACGCCGTCTGCCCTCTCTGTCGCTACCAACTGCCGACCACGGATGATGATGAGGGTGACGACGACGACGAGGAGGATGAGAGAAGGATACGGACAGAGTATACTTTAAAGCAAAACAAGGAATGTAGGCCCGAATTTGAGGCTATTGCTAAAGTTAAGCTTAGAAAAATAGACAACCAAATATAGGTGAAGCTCCCGAATCAAAATTAGGGGTCCTAATTTGGGAGACAGCTTTGTAAAGCCACTCCCGATCTTATTTTTTCTGTAGGATGATTTTTTTTCTATTTGTGCATGGAAAATCGGAGGCATCCACATGCAAAGATATGTGGAGGAATGCTACTCCCTATCATGGGGTGGTGATTTTTTTCTTCTTCGACACTCCATCGCCCCTACCGCCGCACACCACCGGCTCCTGGAGGTTCGCGGAACTCGAATCTTCAGTGACTATTTCAGATCTAATGATACTGAGAAGTAGAGAAGGCAATGGAGATTAATTGCGTTTTGTAGGTTTTGGGTACGAGTTAGGGTGTCAAGGAGGGTGGTTGCGGTCGCCACCTACCGCCATCTAGGAGGTTCGCCAGAATTTGATTCCCGGCCATTATTGTTAGATCTGAGAGCACTCTGAGAGGTAGAGGGAGCAATGGAGATTCTAAGGGCCTGTTTGGGACTGCTCCGCTCAACCTTTTGTAGCTTTGCTTTCAAACTTTCCTGCCAAACAGGTCCAACTCCACAAACTCTGCTCCCAAAAAAAGATGGAGTTTTGGTCCAACTCCATATTTTTCGCGGAGCTCCTTAGAGGGTACTCCACAAACCAGCGTTTCGTATGTCCTCGTGGAGTTGGAGATAATTACCTGCAATTGCCACTCGTTACACAAATACCATTTCGTTGTTTCGTTCTATTCCTTCCGTCGCCCCCACCCGACGCAGCAAAAACCGTTTCATCCTCCTCTACTCCCGTCGCCTCTCTCCTCTGCTCCAGCCCGTCCTCCCCAAACCCTAGCGACGCCGCCGCTCATTCCGGCCGCCACGGCAAGAAATCCGCCAGGTGATGGGGCGGAGAAGATAGATCCGTTGATCTGAATCTGGATCCTCTCTTTTCTTACCCCCAAATCCCTCCGTCTTCCCTCCCCAAGCTGTTGCCGGGCGTGTAAAGTGGGTCGAGGAAGCTCGCCGGGCGCCTAGGGTGGGGCCGGCTTGACCTCCTCCTCGTGGCGCCGCCGGTGGCCTCCGTCCGGGCAGGATAGGTGGTGGCCGTCCGGGACCACTGGCTTTGGCGATCGAGGGCAGGTCGCCCACAAGCCACGGCCGACCAACGCCCTCGGGCATGTGCTTCACATAAGCGACCACTACCGGTGAAGAAGAAAGATGAAGCAGTATTGCTCCTTGTTGTAAAACTTCAAAATGAGCTTCATGATGCCTTGAATAGATAGTATTTGTGCAGCAGTGGTAGCAAAATTCAATAGATTGTCTGAGTGCTTGAACATACTATTGCAATATCATGGTCGGGGTGATCAAATGGTGGAACGATGCACATTTGCAATTAGCCTGCGAGTTGATGATGGTGAACAAGTTAGTAGAGGCAATCGCCCAAATACTCATTTGAACTCAGAGGTTATCTTTGAGGTCTCGGCTAGGTTTTTGCAAATGATTTGGTATCTCATTATCAAAGACTCAAATTAAGAACAAGTGGGATAAATTAAAATTTGATTGGACCATTTGGCTAAAGTTGAAGAGGAGGCAAACATGTCTTTGGTTGGAACAATGCGACCCAAACAATTGACATGGAGGCCGAGTGAGTGGTGGAAGAAAGTAAAAAATGTGAGTGCTATCAGCTGATAATTTTATTCTGATCTTTTCTTGAAGAATTTAACTTGGCATTTAATTTTCCATGTTTATCTGTATCTGTAGTTGATGTGCTGTTAATTTTACTGATGAAGATTTTACTGATGAAGAGCCCTGGCACTAGTAGAGAACAGACATTTGATCCTCGGCCAAAATAGGCTCTAGTCCTAGCATTTTTTACGCCCGGGACTAGAGATACCTTTAGTCCCGGTTGGTGGCTCCAACCGGGACTAAAGGTCCCTGCCCAACGGCTACTACGCCAGGCAGAGGTGGTAGGAACCTTTAGTCCCGGTTGGAGCCACCAACCGGGACTAAAGGTATACTTTTACTCCCGGTTGGTGGCTTGAACCGGGAGTAAAGGTCTACTCCCGGGTCGTGGCTGCGCTCGGGGTTGGAAAGTTATCTTTAGTCCCGGTTGGATCCACCAACCGGGACTAAAGGTCCCCCCTTTATATCCCGGCCGTCTCCTTCTTCCTCCCCGAGCCCGAGCTCAGCACATTTTGAAGCTCACTGCACTAGTGTTCTTGCTTCCTCCCTCTCTCCATTGTTCCTCCATCCATTCTTCGATTCCTCCGTCGATTCTTTAGTTGTAAAGGTTACCAATCTCATACTCTTATTTTTCACCATTGTCTTATCTCATTTTGTTCACTATATATATATATATATGGTTCTTTATTGTGGTTTTTTTTCATTTGTAAGCAATTTGAGCTCAAAATCACTTCAAGCTTGCATATTTACATGAAAGAAGGTTAAAGTAGCTAGTTGAACTTGCGGATCGTGTTCATCTCGGCGAGCATGTTCCCTTCCTCGTAGAATCGGAGCTCTTCCTTGACCAAGTATGGTGCGTCCGGTGGAGAAATGCTCGCCGAGATGATCACGTAAGCAAGGTCAACTAGTACGGATGGTTATTTATTAAAACATGTTTTTGAGATATAGATAATTTTATAGTTTCTCAATTTTATTTATTTATAAAATGAGAAATTTATAGTGTATTAAAAATGAGTATAGAGAGTAGATGGTGGCGCTTAGGGTCCTCGGCCTCTCATGGGTTTCCAAAGCGACTTTAGGCGGGCCTCCCTCTCATTCCATGCGGCAAGTGTCGTGATGAGACGAAGATTGTGATGGAGTACCGAGTGAAGAAGGAGGGTCCCGACAAGGATCGTATCTTCTACAAGTGTTTGGATCATAATGTGAGTTATTTTATCGTATTTAATGATTATGGTTAGTTTATACCTATTTTCATGATGGTTGTGATTAAAGTTCTAATTTTTTATTTTAATTTCAGTGGGATGGCAGTGGGCGATGTTGAGGGCTTCTCTTTGGGAGGAAGAGTATGTTGAACTCGTGCAAAAATATCTTGCACAACAAGAAGAATCACGGTGGCTAATGAGGCGATGATCCAGTAGAAGAAGCCCAAAGATGTTGCACAATCGGGGATCTGTCTGTTTTAGTTGAGATTGGTCGTGAAATCCTTGTGCTCTGAAATGTATTTTAGCTTTAGTTCTTTTAGTGGTAGTTGGGATTGTCTACATTGTAGCGATGCTTTCATAAATTT